AAAATATGAAGGGCAAAATATAGGCATAGTGGCTCCTTCCTGCAATCCCAGTACTCTGGAGGCAGATACAGGAGGATCATGAGTTGGAGGCCAGCTTGGGATTCACAATAAACTTTGTCTGAAAAATAGTAAGGAGGCTGGAGAGACGGCTCATTGTTTAGAACATGTACTGCTCTTGCAGAGGACCTGAGTTTAGTTCCCAGTAGCCACATCAGGTGGTTCATAACTACTTGTATGTAACCCAGCTCCAGGGGGGTCTCATACTCCCTATAGCCTCTGAAGGCACCTGCACTCAGGTGCAGAGAGAGAGAGAGAGAGAGAGAGAGAGAATATTAAAACAACAAAATTAAAAGTTATGAAGCAAGTTCACTGGGGTGAGTCCCTATGCCCCACGCCATCAATCTCAAAAATCGCACAACATCCCCTTTGGTGCCCATGAGTACTAAAGTCCTATGCAACATCATGACCTGCTCAGAAAGTTATAGCTCTAATCCAAATTTAAGTTAACAGCTGGGAGGAGGAAGTCTTCCTTGGAGAGCTACCATGGAAAAGTCCACAGGGTTTCCGTGCTGTGTGGAGTCCAGGTCTTGGCGGAGCACAGTTCTTTCCAGCCAGAGTAAGGGACAGGTTTTCCGATTTGTTTACACGTTGGCAAGGCTGGGGTGGAGAAGGAAAGAGGATGAGAGGAGGATGGGAGCTGACAGAAACAATACCATTCTGTTCCTCATGTGCTCTTTTGACTGAAACTAGAAAAACACCAACGAACCACAACAAGACACTGTTGAGACCAACACATACTACTGTCATCATCAACCCAAGAGTGTGAGCTCCTAAAATGACAGTTTTTACTCTTTCTTTTTCGAATGTAGCATTAGATAAAATAAGATTTACTTTTTTCTTATGTTTGAAGTTTGGTCAACTAGTGAGGAAATGATTTGGGGTTCTCAGCACCTCTGGGAAAGCAGTGTTTTAAAGAACAAAGGAAATAGGAGAGTCACTGCTCAGCCCCCAGGGCAAGTGTGCCCCCTCTGTGCCCCAGCATGTTTCCCTGAGGGTCTCAGAGTCCTTGCTCTGGCGCCCTAACATCACCTGTGCACGCGTCACCTCCACAGGTGAACTTGTATGGAACGAAGATGACGCTTCATCTGCACTCAGTGTTAGGGAGTGAAGCCACCAGCCGTGGTCCCTTCCCATCACCTGTAGATTCTCAGAAAGACAAATAAAAATGCCTCATAAACCAAGTCACGGAGCCTCAGTCAGGACAGAGTGCCTGCCTTCTCCTGGCCTGGACCGTTCAGGACAGAGAGGAAAGGGGGTCTGTCTGCTTGTTTGTGTTCAGTTACAGCCATTGCAGAGCAGATGACAGTTTCTCTTCTGTATTCAGAGCCAACCTTCCATTTTCAAACCAACCTAGTCTCAAACACAAGAATCTGGAGGGCATTTGCTTATTAAAACACTCAGGTTCTTAGTAACGTATTTCCAATCATTGGTAGCTGAAAGCTTCAACTGGCTTAGCTGCAACTTGTGTTTGAAGTAAGCAGGCAGCTACCTTTTCCTGATTAATTTGTGGTGATGCTGAGCCATAATTCTAGGCTACAAATACAGCATTCCTGGTGAAGGAATCAGCTGACACTTGGTACTGAGAGACCAAAGTCTTGTTAACACCCATAATGAAGAATTCTGTGGTGAGTGCTTGAAGTCGGTTTTCTGTGTATTTCAATTCTAGGTTTTACTTTTAGAGCAAATGCCTCTCACAGTTCCAATCCTGGGACTTAGCCTGGCCCGGCCGGGCGCTAGGTGGCACTCGCGCCCCTCCCTGGCACTGTGATCTCCCCTTCCCCACCCCCGAGTCAGTGATGTGCCACCCTGCCCCTGTCCTATGAAGTGGAGGATTGGTGGGCCGCTGGGCTGCATTCTGTTGCTTTCAGTCATGCACAGAAATGTCCACGTGGACCACATTGGTCTTTCGAGAAGCTGTGTACCTGCAGAGTAGTTTGCATTTTCCCTTGCAAATCACTAGCCTTCCCTCCTTTGTTGGAGTTTCGGTTTAAAGGTTTGTGAAAATAATTAGATGTTCAAATGCAGCTGTTCATTTTCTACAAAATGAACAGGAGGGATTTCCATTTCCAATAGAAAGCAGCCTTGCATTCAAAGTCAGCATCAACAGGACATCCACATTAAACTCACGGCTTGTATGGCAGTGTATGCAGCAGTGTCTAAGGCCCAGGTTCACCACAGGGCCGATGTATAGCTATGGCCGAAAAGAAAAAGAAGTCATCTGCGTCCCTTCAGGGACAGAGAATTCTGGAATGAGCTCCTGGGCGTCAGGGTCTTCAGTTTTCCCAAGTCCTAAAGAGTGTTTTTCATTTGAATGAGTAGGAAATTATGTGCTTTGTGCAGGAGAGATGGCTCAATGGGTAAGAGTGCTTGTGTAAGCATGCAGACCTGAGTTCAGATCCCCAATAAAAAGCCAGGGCATGGCCACCCCAGCCTATAACCCTAGCACCAGGTAGGAGGGGGGACGTGGGAACAGGGGAATTGCTGGAACTTGTTGGGCCCCAGCCTAGCTCCAGGTTCAGTGAGAGATCCCATCTCAAGGGACTAAAACTGAGTCACAGAGCACCCAGCATCCTCTTCGAGCCTCCAGAGGCACCTACACAGGGAAGTGCATGAACACACAGTGCGAATACACACGCACGCAATACACACACATGCAATACACACAT